CTCCCGAGTGCTGGGATTAAAGGGTGACCCACTTCATAAACAAAAAATCTCCTTCTTTAGTCTTCTGTGTACACCCAATCAGTCAACAACACGGTGTCACCATTAGGAGAGCTTGTGTTAAGCCTCAGGAATAGTTGTTTGAGGTAACCTGTGTGTCCTAGTTAGAAAAATAGAGTCTTGTATCTTACATAATCTAGTCCTGATCTCAGTGCAGAGGTACCATACTTTTATCCCTGAATGACCTCCTCAGAGGGAAAGCCACAGTGTTTTCAGCTCACATTTTTGTCCTCTGTCTACTACTTCCATCTACTGCTCTCTGCCAGCTGTTCACAAACTTCGGTGCAGAGAATCAGCCTCAGGAAAATAATTTCCTGAACGTATCCCTAGAGAGTCTGATATGTTTGATAAAGGAAATTCCTTATTTTATTGCTTAATTTTCTATCACAGTAATTCTCAGGACAGGACAGAGAACATGTTTTAAAATGGGAGGGACTAGAGAGATGACTTAGTGTTTCAAAGTACTGCCTGCTCTTGAGAGGACCCCAGTTTAGTTCTCCACACCCACGTGAGAGCTCAAAACTCTTTGTGACTTCAGTTCCAGGAGGACACCCGTACAGTAGGCAAAACACCCATGCACATCATTTTTTTTAAGAAGAAAGAAAAATGAGGACCTAGATGAATTCCTAGTTCATTTTTCAAGATCGAAGCAAAGAAAATGAGATGCTTCGACCTTATTATTCTCTTCCGTTCTGCACATTAACACACAGAATCTTATCAGGATTCCTTACTTAATCACTTCCTCTAAAATGTGCACACACCCCGTATCTATGAGAAGTGATCTGTGGTGTATGACAAGAACAGAATAGTCTTTGGGAAATTTTGTACACTTGATGAGTTTACTGATTAATTGCGGTCTATGAAGAGCACTTCAAGGAGAGAAGCCACAGATTTCTGTTGCAGTGAGTTAACATGGTGGGCTAAGTTGGCAGAATTAATGTGGTTCCAGCACAGGCACTGATTGACAAGGTCATAATTATTAGGATATTCACGCTGGGAATTATTCCCAAGCTTTAACAAAACTTTAGCAACTTCAGGGTTATTTTAGAAAAATAGTGAATTTGTAGGTCGTGTATATTTTACTTTATAAATTTAGTGTACATATGTTATTGAACAGTGTATACTGAATGTTTTAAAATATGACTTTTGGATTCTACATATTATAGGAGTTTAGTAATTTGAAAACAAAGAAAAATGCTTATCTGGAATGATAAACATTAAAGATTCTATTACAGCTTAATGCAGTTACTACGTAAAGCATGTATATCCTTTGAACTTAAACTTTCAAAAGTGCACATCATTCTGGATGTTATTTTAGCCTTGAGGAAATGACTGATTACAATATTTAGCCATTATAATAAAAAGTCAATAACACTGAATTAGCATATTTACTAACTTTTAACTCAAGATTAAATTTATCTCTTCAGAGACAATGAAATAATTTCAGTTTTCTTTCTAGTAGGATCTTCAAGTAAAATATATAGTAAACTATATTTTTAAAAAATCTTTTGAAAAATAGGAATGATAAATGGTCAAATAACGTATTTTCGTGTGCTATGTACAAATTGAATAACAACTGCTCTCCTGAATTAGGATTTGTGTTTGAATTTTTTGCCTAACTTTCCCGTATGCAGAATGTTGGTTCCAGGTGGTTTAGTGAAGCCCGTGTCTCATGAGTGCTCATGTTCAGTTTCTTGGCAGCACAGAAGTGGAGCAGCCAAAGGGGACAGAAGTCGTGAGAGACGCTGTGAGGAAGCTAAAGGTAAGGAAGGCCCTCGGAAGAACGGCTGGTGTATCGGTCTCATGTAGGTAAGGAAAACCTTCAGAAGAACTAGTGTATCGGTCTCATGTCATCGGCAGGTTGATGGGAGTGAAAACATGCATAACTCTGGTAGGTATAGCTCCACTCTTTAAATTACAATTAAATATCTTTGGTCGTGAGCCTAGCCTTTAATGGCTGAGCCCTCTTTCCAATCCCTCAACCATTGAATGGATAAAGAAAATGAAAACAAACAAAACAACCGGAATGACATCTTGATAGTGGCATGCAAATGTATAGATCTAGGAAAAAAATATAGTAAGTAAGGTAACCCAGACAGAGAAAGACAAATTAAGTCTTTACAAATTAAGTCTCACAAGTGGCTTCTAGACATAAAGCAAAGAAAAGCCAACCTATAGTCCACAACCCTAGACAACAAAGAGGACCCTAAGAGCGACTTACGTGGATCTACATAGGAAGGAGAAAAAGACAAGAGTTCCTGTGTAAATTGGGAACGTGGTGGTTATGGGGGAGAATAGAAGAGGAGGGGGAGGAAGGGATGGGAGTGGAGAAAGATATACAGCTCAATAAATAAATAAGTAAGTAAATTACAATGAAATAACTATCATCTGTTCAAGGAGACATGTTAAAGTATAAATCATGGTTATTTTTCTGTTCGTACCATATTTTATAAAGTATCATTTCTTACAGTCACTAAAAGCTTTTAGGGTCAAATTCCCTAAGTGTTTATATTCAGTGGTCTGCCTTTGTATTTCTTGGCCAATGTGAAGCCATGCTCTAGCTCAAAACTAGTAGTACTATCATAAAAAATCTATAACAGTTAAATTATCATATCTACCAGCTGAAAATATTTTTGCAGCTGATTGCACAACAGACTTTGGAAATACCGCTATATATTAAGGATGTCCCAATGGGCCGTGTCAATCAGCAATGTTAGGGGAGATTGTGTAACTAAGAGAACAGAAGAAAATATTGATTAAACCGCCTAAGTATCCACAAGTAATACATTTCTTGAGAAAAAAATTATGCAACCTCATGAACTCATATTCACCAAGGTTCTTCATAAAATCTTATGACTACACACCACAAATATGTTTCTGTAAAACCCACCTCTCAAAAGTCAGTTGGGAGAACTCCTTCAAGAGGTCATGCATCTTCATATTCATAAGATGATCTGCATATCACTACTTTATTTGCAAAGTTAGCTTTTCTTTTGTGTGGCTGCTTTCACAATTTGGTGGATGGGAGATAACCTTTCTGTGACCTTGCTTCTAGAGGTGAGCTCTTTCCACAGGACTGTTAGGCCCTGTAGTGTGTTCCAAGCAGAATCATGAACGTTAAAAATTACTACTATGTTTTGAGAAGGTCAAATAAAGTATATGCAAAGTTTAAGTTGAGGAAAAAGATGAGAATGAGATTTATATTCTGGATAAAGAAATAAAGCAGGCCATGCCTTCATCCATTCACTCTTGTGACTATTTGATACAGTCCTTGAAGTAGATATTCTGGGCTTCCAGGATAATATCACTCACATTTAAGGAAAATGCTCTCTCTCGTAAGCCATTTCTTCCCATTGTCATTAGGCAATGTTTCAGGCTGGTCTTCATCTGAACAATATTTTTAGTCAGCAATAGAGGGTTTTATTGATGACCTTGTAGGTTGTGGCAACTCTTAATATATGATTGTAATTGTTTTAATAGTGGTCCAAGTCCTGGGTTGAGTACAACTTTACTGCAACCAGAATGTATCTTAAAAGAGCAATGGTGTTGCAATATTTCTTTAGACCTTTGGAATTCTTAATCCAGTATCTCTAATATGAAACTAAAAGGGTTCAATTACATTATGACTATGCCAAAGAGAGACTTAAGTGGCTTCTAATACTATGACTAGTTTATATGAGGTTTTAAAGGGCATATCTATAAAGTTCAATACCTAGAAATTAACCGTTTCAGGGGAAATATAATGAAAAATAACAATAGAGTTAAAATGTATACTGAACGGACAGTAGCTTTTATTAAACATGTGTCTTTCACAATAGATATGCATTTAACAAATAAATTGTATAGGTTGAAAAATTGGTTTCTCAGCAAAGTAAATATGTGTAAGAGAGAATTTTGCATTAGTGAATATGAGTAAAATGATGGTTTTTATCTGAGTTTGTTGAAATTGTTTCGCTTATGCTGTGTCTGAGGTCAGAGCTATGATAAAATGTATCAATATTTACACGTAGTTTTAACTTGCTATCCTATGGATGTGGCCATCGGGTGGCGCTGTGGATCCACTGGAAATAGAAACTTCCAAATGTCCGTGATGACCCCATTTTGATTTTCTGCTTCTTTTTTCCCAAACACGTGTGTCCTGGCTCTTTTAGTAAATACATTGTAGTGTTGGACTCATTCTTTCTCATGTAGCTAAAAATGTTCTTAATTTTACTCCCTTTCCTAAGTTAGCATTTTAAATGCATTGCTTTTTGACATTAGGTAAAACTTAGAAATGCAAGGATAATAAGGCAGTTAGAAATCTTAAAGAAGTTTCAGTAATGTTATATTTATACTCTCGCAGTTCGTCATATCTGCTTGATTTTTAACAGAATGTTTCTAATGATTTGGCTAGTCACTGGTGATTATAGAGAATTCCTTGTTTCTGAATGTTAATGTAAGAACTTGTGTAAGAATAAAAATACCTTCTGCTTGTCAAAATGACATATCGCATTTCGATTTCTTAATTATGAATTTAGCATGACATTTACAAACCGGTAATTATTTAAAAATGCGATATTATAAAACTCAGCACTGTTTTCATTATGAGTTTCATTTTCAGACGGGAGCTGTTTCAAGACAACCAGTTCAAACACCAGGACTCTGTGTATTCACAATTCGTTATGTTAAAATATGCATACACACTAGGACTTAGATATTAACTCAATGGCCTCCCTCAGACATGCGTAGATATAACATGTTTTGGCCCCAGTTTAAAAGGGCTGTCTCAGGCCGGGCGGTGGTGGCGCACGCCTTTAATCCCAGCACTAGGACTCGGGAGGCAGAGGCAGGCGGAACTCTGAGAGTTCAAGGCCAGCCTGGTCTACAAAAGCTAGTTCCCGGATGGGCACCAAAGCTACAGAGAAACCCTGTCTCGAAAAACCAAAAAAAAAAAAAAAAAAGAAAGAAAGAAAGAAAGAAAAGGGCTGTCTCCAGTTAAAGAGGCTCCACTTAAATCCATGAAACTGCTTCAATGTGATACAGCTTGGGAGTCACTGGCAAGATCTCTTCATCAGTTTAGGCCTTCATCATGGGATGTCACTCTGTGTTACAATTCCATTGTGTCGTCAGCCATTTTTCTTCAAATGACCAACTATTTAGAACCTAGTTATACAAAAAAAGCATAATTATTAGACTATTTTAGCAACGAGTGTAAGAAATATGAAGTGGCCTTGGAGTGCCAAATAGTTTGCAGATGATATGATAGTATACATAAGTGATCCTAGACATTTCTACCAGGAAACTCCTACAGCTGAGAAATACTTTTAGAAAGAGATTGGATACAAGTGTAACTAAAGTCAATATATCAATCAATCATATTTATGAATGTATACATATATATCAATCCATCATATATATAAATGTATACATATATGTTTATATATAAACAATCAAATCAGTAGCTAGACTGATAAAGATATCATGCCAACAACACTTTTCATAATAGCCTCAAATTATATAAAATATTTTGGAGTAACTCTAAGCAAGCGACTGACGTATATGATAAAAACTTCAAATCTTTTAAGAGTTTGAAGAAGATATCAGAAGATGGAAAGATCTCCCATGTTCATGGATCAGTGAGATTAACAGAATAAAAATGGCCATCCTACCAAAAGCAATCTACAGATTCAGTGCAATCCGTTTTTAATTCCAACACAATTCATTACAGACTTTGCAAGAACAATATTAAACTTCATGTAAAAACAAAAACAAAACAAAACAAAAACAGCATAGTTAAAACAGTGCTGTAAAATCAAAGAATTTCTGGAGGTATCACTATCCCAGATTTCAAGCTATACTACAGCGCTATATTAATATTTAAAGTGCATGGTATTGGCATAAAAACAGATACATTGATGAATGGAATCAAATTGAAGACCCAGAAATAAATCCTCATGCCTATGGACACTCGAATTTGGATTTTTTTTAAAAAGCCAGAAATACACACACACACACACACAAGCCAGCATCTTCAACAAATGGTGCTGGTCAAACTGGATGTCTGCATGTAGAAGAATGCAAATGCATATTTATCACTCTGCACAACTTCAAGTGGATCAAAGACCTCAACATAAAATCATATACACTGAAGCTGAGGGAAGAGAAAGTGGAGAATAGCCAGAACACTTTTGCCACATAGATGACTCTCCGAACAGAACACTGATAGTATAGGCAATATTAGTATCAGCAATTATTAAATGGGACCTCATGAAGCTGAAAAGTTTCTGTAAGACAAGGGACACTGTCAATCAGGCAAACCGGTAGCCTACAGAGTGGGAAAGTATTTTTTACCAACTACACATCCAATAGAAATAACCCAATTGAAAAACATGATACAGATCTAAAGAGAGAATTCTCAGTAGAGGAATTTCAGAAGGCTGAGAAACATTTAAAGAAAGGCCCAGCTCTTCGCCTTTCCTTCGCCATCGTGTGCCACCTGCCCGCCCAGCCTTCTCGCCATGTCTTCTCACAAGACTTTCAGAATCAAGCGATTCCTGGCCAAGAAACAAAAGCAAAATCGTCCTATTCCTCAGTGGATTCGGATGAAAACTGGCAACAAAATCAGGTACAACGCCAAGAGAAGACACTGGAGGAGAACGAAGCTGGGTCTGTAAGGAGTCAACAATGAATGGCAAAACAATTAATGATGAATCGTGATCCTTGATGAGTGTTACAAGATGAAGTTCAACATTTTCAATCTGGAGACTTGATCATGTTTAAGTTGGGAGTGGTTTCTCCAGTAATAAAATGTAGAACCTTTTGAAAAAAAAAAAGGGGCCCAATATTCTTATCCATTAGAGAAATGCAAATCAAAACTACTTTGAGATTCTATCTTACACCTGATAAGATCAATAATAGAAGTGAAAGCTCATGCTCAGGAGGATATGGAATAAAGGGAACACTCTATTGCTGATAGGATTGCACACTTGTACGGCCACTATGGCAACCAAATACTTAAAAAGTTGGGAGTGGATCTACCTCGAGATCCACTCTTAGGCATATAGTCAAAAAATGATGTATCCTACCATAGTGACCTTTGCTCAGCAATGTTCATTGTAGCATAGTCATAGTAGTTAGAAGCTAGAAACAACATAAACGTTCCTCAACTGAAGAAATGTAACACATTTATACAATGAAGTATTATTTACCTGTTTTTAAAAATGACTCAATGAAATTCATGTGAAAATGGATAGAACTAGAAGAAAAATCATCCTAAGTAGGTAACCCAGACCCAGAAAGACAGATATGGTACTTATTCGCTTATGAATGGATATTAGCCATAAAACAAATGATAACCAAGCTACAATCCATAGGTCTAGAGAGGTTAGGTAAAGAGGAAGGGTCTGAAGGATGCAGGGATCTCCTTGGGAGGAGGAAATAAAATAGATTTTATGATCAACCTGGGGGTAGGTGGGGACAGGAGTTGGGGGATCGGGTTGGAATAAGATTGGGTGGAAGGAAAAAGTGTGAGAAGAGTCACTTGGAATTGTCCATCAAATCCCTCCCCTCAGATTTCAGGGAATCCCATTGAAGAGGACATGGAAATATTGTAAAAACAGGATGGGATGGAGGACACCAGAAGAACAAGACCCTCTGAATCACCTAAACAAGGGATACATGAGTTCAGAGAGACTGAAGTAGCATGCACAGGGTCTATGTGGGTCTGCATCAGATCCTCTGTGTATATATTATAGCTATTAGCTTAGTATTTTTATGGGATTCCTTGCAGTGAGACCTAGTTGGTCTTGGATTCTTGTGCCTGCTCTTAAGACTCTATTCCTCCTACGGGGTGACTGTGCCCAACTTCAATATGACCGTTCTTACTTGTTTGTATTATCTTTTATTATGTCATATTTAGTTATTATCTCTGACTAACCTGTTTGTTTCTAACTAGAGACTGAGAGAGAGGGAGTGAATCTGGAGTGGCAGAGAGGTGGGATGGAACTGGGAAAAGTAGAGGAAGTGGAACTATAATTAGGAATATATTGTATGAGAATCTATTTTCAATAAAGGAAAAATACACATTCACAAAGTGGCATAGGATTGCCAAATAATAGGGTCTAAGAAATAAATTAATTTTCCTGCCCACTAGCATGTATCCTATTAGTTTTAGTAATAGAATTAGATTTCACTTTTTAAAATGTCCTTTGAGAGATGTATGGAAATCGTGCAATGTGGGCATCAAAACTCAATGTTCTATAAACTTTCATGACAAGCTCTAAATAGCACTAACACATGTTTAACTTACTTTATAATTTCAAATGATTTCATTTTTTCATCATTTTATGGATACAAAGACTGTGTCTTGATCCTGTATTGTACTGTGCTCATGTTTTATGTCCATTGAAGCTTTTTGTTGGATTGGATTACTATGTTGAATTTACAAGGATAGATCTATAAAGGAAGGAATTCAAAACAAAAATTGAAAGACATTTGCAAACAAGGCTGTTCAAGGATTTACATTAAAATAATAAATAAGAAAAAGAATATAGCCAAGGATAAGAGAGCATCTGTCATGCATTGTCTCTCATCACTCTTGAATTAGAAGAATTTTGGAACACAGTTTAAGAAGTCCACAAGTAAGAAAATCAAGGAGACTTAAGCTGGGAAAAAAGTTTTGTGAGCAGTGAGCTTGACATTTAGGAAAAAAAGCAGAGAGACCATGATTATCAAATTATTTAAGCTTAGAGTGAGTCTAATTCTAGATACAAGACTTTTGCAGATATATTTTCAGCAATCACGTCACAAAACTGATGGGAATGTTGATATTTACATGAAACACGAATGGGGAGTGTGATGGTGAAGGAAGATGTCTGAGTGCAAGGGAGCAAGTGCATCCTCCCTGATGCTTATTACCAGCCGATTTCGTGATTGGGGTGTGTAAGGACGTTAGGAAATGCAGTTTGGGTTGGTGGAGGATTGATAACTCAAGGCTTGTTTAGTACTGTTAACTTGGTCTTGACATGAGGTAGGGAAGTGATACCAGAGGGGCTTATACCAGCTGTTTAGGTCTCATCATCCCTTTCCTGCTTTCTCCGGCTTTCCTGTGTGTGTGTGTGTGTGTGTGTGTGTGTGTGTGTATACATGTGTGACATCAACACTCTCTTTTCTTTCTTCGTTTCTTCCTTTCATTTTTTCCTTTCTAAACAGACAAGTTTTAAATTACTGACTTTTGTAACAATATTTTCATAAAACACAAGGTTATGGGATTCATATCTGAGGTCACAGGAATTGCTGTTTTCAGATGGCGAAAAGCCCTTGGAAGTGACTGCGAGGCCCTGCAAGCAGCCCAGGGTGGTTTATCTCAGGTATCCTTCAATAAGTACAGAACACAGACCCACCGGTACTTTTAGTGTTTCATGCACGGAAACCTTAATTATACTGAGTCAAAAGTATACTACCATTGGGAAAGACAGCTAATATGCACGCTTTGAGGGAGCGTGCATATTTGAGGAATAACACTGCATGGAAGCAAAACATGTCTCTTAAAGACTGAGAAGTATTTGGCATACATTGGGTGTCATGTGCACACTGTGAGACTTCTAGAGGCAAGAGAACAATAATAATGAAGGAGCTTCTGTCAAAGGAACACAGGAAAAAAAGCAGACTGGAAAAGTATGCCACCCAAAGTGGGTACAAAACGAGTAACAGCGGCTGGGATTCGAAGGCAGACATTTGAAGGCACTCCTGTAAGCATTAACTGTGATCCTCTCTGCGGCAGTGCAAAGACATAAAGAAGAAGGCTTTGCACACTCTGCCCCGGGAACAACCACCATGCACGCGCACATCTGCCCTAGATTAGAATGGATTGCGCAATGCAAATAAATAGGACACACCAGAGCCCTGGAGCTCTGCCCGACCTCACATCTGATCCTTTAGAATCCAGTTCAAAGGACTTTCCATATGCTGCAAATGAGTGGTAGAAGCCCTGGCAGTGGGGTGTGCAATCCTACTACTTTAAAAGTCTCCTTTCTTTCCGTCTTTTTTTAAAAAGTCATATGAAGGGAAGGAACTAAGAAAGAAAATAGGGGGTGAGAGGGGTTGCCACCAGAAAGCAAAATATCCAGTAAACTAAACAAAATGGGGAGTTGGACAGAAATTGGGACATCCAGTGAACCGTGGATTCAAGTAAATAGCAATTAAACTAAAAAGGATTACAAAATACTGCCCAGGACATACTTATTCTAACAGGACATATATGTTGTGTGTGTGTATATGTGTGTGTGTGTGCTTAGGTAAATATCTGTATGTATTCTAATATTAAGTTTGTAAACATGTCTATTGTTTAATACTAAAATTCAGTTGGGATTCATAATTTTTCTCCCACTAAATCTGGAGAAGCTGGGGAGAGACAGGCAGAAACTTCCTCTGCGTGAGAGTAGGATGATATTCTTCAGATTTTACAAAGACCCAAACAGTTGTAAACATGTGCTTTAAATGAGTTGAAAGACGGGATACGACAGCTATGAAAGTAGGTAGAAACCACGGTGCCTACAAGATGCTGGCTGCGTTTGTGATTCTAGACCACATCTGTCCCCACAAAGGAGTCGTTCATGGTAAAATGACTGGAGCTCTCAGCTTTGGTCTAGATGTGTCCGTTGGTGTCATCTTTGTGGGTTTGACTGATAGGTCATGTACACAACTAGGTAGCTGTCACTCAACAGCAGGTGAACAGCTTTAAATTCTGAGAACACTTTAAAATAAAATTATCTCAAAATGAGGAACTCAGTACTAGTTTTCCCGCATGCTTTCTTTGCTGGTTGGTACACATTCAACCCTTTAAGTGGCATGTTAAAATGTATGAAAGTCAAGGTTTGGGCATTGTTTAGAAGGGTGTTGTTGGTGGTGTTTAATGATTAGGATCAGCTAGGCATAGTGTCTCATATCTGAAATCACAACACTTGAGTGTCTAAGGTAATGGATTGTTATAAATATGATCGCAGGCTGAATTTACATAATGATTTTGAGGCTGACATGGAATACAGAAAAAGAGCCTGTCTCAAAAAGAAAAGCCAAACAAACAAACAAACAAACAAAAATCCAAAGGAATCAGAAAACACAAGTCACTGCGAATGAATCTGAATTACGGTTACAGACAGAGAGGGTTACTGAGCAGAACTGTTTCTACAGAATGCTTTGTAATGGGTAGTCCCTGACTTCATGAATGTTGGTTACAGACACAAACGCCAAATGTCCATTTATGTTCATATTCCACAGTCATGGAATCACAATTTTGTGAATGTTTTTGTTATTTATAGTTTGCAAGACACATCAAGAAATCAGAAGGCCAGAAGATTCCTAAAGTTGAATTGCAAATATCAATTTACGGAGTAAAAATTCTTGAACCCAAAACAAAGGTAAGGCTTGTTTTTTGAGGGTTATGTGGACCTATTCTTCAATCAGTGTCAATTACATCTATTTTCATGGATATTTAACATTTATTACCAACTTTAGATGTTTGGTGCTTGGCGATTTATTTAAACATGTGTAGCAATTTGGAGAAAGGGAAGAACTTTTGGAATTTTGGTATTGTCTACCTGCAGCCTATGCCCCACATATAATAACTTATATAAAGTAGATTCAGTACTGGTAGTGCCTGTATCTAGTGATTTCTATCCCTCTATGTGCAAGATGCATATGGTATGGTTTGCTGGGTATGAAAGAAGACAAAAGCTGTGCAGTGTTAAAATGTCCTTTCGTGTGGATTCAATTGCTGTTTATTAGTTTTCTAGGGATGATATAACAAAATGCCAAAGTCTGGATAAATTAAGCAATGGCGATTTGTTTCCTTTGTAGTTGTGAACCTATAATCTCAATATTCGTATGTCCACAAACTCAGCTTCTCCTTTAGCCTCCTCCTTTGGCACAGCTGTATCTTCATGTGCGCACATACTTGAGATGCTTTGTATGCCTGGGTTTTTCTTATTTGTTTTTTTGCTTTGTTTTGTTTTTCAAAAGGACACCAGATTGAATTAAGGATCATACAATGCTTTTATATGAGTTGTATTACCCATATAAATGCCTTATCTCCAATTTTTAATTTTAAGACAAAGTTTCATATTTGTAGCAACATATATTAATTAAACATAATAATGAATTTCATTATAACTGAATGAAACTTGTATACAATATATTTTAATCCTGGTTATTGCAATCACCTTTTCTTAATTGCTTCCTACTCCCAACAGTTCCCTTTCTTTGCCCCAATCAGTGCCCCTTCTACTTCCATCTTCCTTTTCCCCCAATGAGTTTTACTCGTAGCGCTTACAGGAACATGACAAGGGGCTTCTCACTGTATTATATGCTATTCACCCGAGGGAAAGTTCTCTCCCTTCACC